CCTACGCACATGCGTACACACCTTCATTATAAACATCACATTCTGATAACTGATTTACGGCCGACGTTAAAAACTGACGAGACAGCTATCAATAATAATAGTGAAGATAATGCTACAATACCATGACATCCTTTGGGTACGAACTTTAGTACCAGCCTCCACAACCAGTACCAAGCACCAGGATCTTCACCTTGAGATGTTTGGCCACCACTCCACGCACACACTCGGACTGGCGAGGTTTTACAAACAGCTTCAATAGACAGCACAGCTGTGTGCAGGAAAGCTCGATATGACGAGAAGTAACACATTACACGAGCATAGTTTTCTCACCTTACCCTCCACCCCATCACACCTTCAACCAAATCTCCTCTTCCGTTACATCTTTCTGCTCTTCAAAAGGAGGCCTTGATCCAAAGGTTTAGAGCTACTCTCACCTTCCTTGTATTATATACGAAGACCTCTCATTCCCTGAGCGCTCTAAGACCCTTACCGATCTAGTAATATACCGTGCGACTCTTCACCCACTACGTTAGTCGCGGCAACCAGCGAATTTGTGCCTTACTCAGTAACTCACGCTGACATATATGGCAAAAAAAAGTTCAGAAGCACTAGAACCACGCCTCTATAAGCATCGAACTTCCCTAAATAATGCCTGAGTTTGACATGCATGAGAGTATTTTACAACCCCACTCTTGGGCTACAAAAACCAAGACCCCCCCTCTCCCCACCCTCACAAGCACACAAAACCCACACCTCCTACTCCTTCCTCACAAGCCTACAGGAAACCCCTCTCCTCCCCCCCCCCTTCCATATATTCCTGGGTATGGATTTTGCTTCACGGGGGTCGCTTTTACCCCTAATGAATTTCGCTGATTAATTAAAGCTCGTCCATAAATCGGAGGGTTGTATGTGGTGTGTGTCGACCGAGGCGTGTTAGTTGGCTGTCCCAGCTCGATTTATTGCTCACTGGAACGCCGATTTTTTTTTTATGTGGGAGGACGGACACTTCTAATTGTGAGAAGTAGCGTGTGACTGCCTGCCTGCCTGCCTGTCTGATTGTCTGGTTTATTGACTGCCCATCTGTCGGCCTGTCATTGTAGGCCTGTCATTATCTGTCATTATCTACCTGTCTGCCTCTGTCTACGGATAGCAACCATGTTGCTTGTTATATCGTTGCCTCGCATTCTGTCTCAGTGTGCTCGTGTCATCCGGCAGTAACTGCTGTCAAGGAATCAATGTACCAATGTTCGTCATTCGGCTTCCATTTCATACCGATAATTCTACTGATTTTCGTTTGCTGTCGTTAAATTTCCGTCTCCATCTACTGAACATAAATTTGCCTCTTATCCGCTGCTCTTATGCTCACTTAGTATCCATGTCTCTCACCAGCGCTCTCTTCAAGGATGGTGGACCTTGATAACGGTGAAGGGCTCATAATGAATAAAGCTGCAACTCTCCCCCGTAAGAGCAAACGTAAGCTACCGTTGTATGACCCCTGCGGATTTAACACTTTCTCCTAGATTTCAACAATATTCAAGTTAGTTCATCAAATGCTAAAAGGCATGTCACTAGTCACATTATTATTTTTATTATTATTATTATTATTATTATTATTATTATTATTGGGAAACACTGAACACTACGTGCATATAGCTCCAAGGAAGTGGAGCATCGTTACAGTTGCTAGAATCAAGAGCACTTCGCTGGCATCAAAGCACCTCCCGCCCCCATCCCTTAAAAGATCTCAGACAAGTAAACAACTTGCTAAGAATTAGAATCAGTAATAATAGATACACTGAGAAACGTATATGTAAGTGTATATAGAGTTCATACTGTAATCTGGTTAAGGGTTCTTTCTTTGTCCAGGAGAATGAAGCATCCCTCCCTTTCCTTGGATCAAACCTGATTTCCCTCTGTGTTTGAAACATTGTGTATGCGTTACGATTCACTGCTTTTGTATACCTATAAGACAATCTTTGATTGATTGAAACATTAGTGATGCGCAGGTAATATGCAGCTTTAATGTCCCTCGAGTAGTAGATCAGCTTAAAACCTAACTAAAAAACATCCAGTGAACCACCCAATAAACCAAACAACCAGCATAATTAAAGTCCCAATGATGAACATTATTTTCTGACAAGAGTCTGAGGACAGTGTCGCAAGGGGTCATTTTGGCCTGGAAAATATACTGCCTTCATTTTTTTTAGTAAGGTATTTGAGACAGTGAGCCATGGTAACGTGTGCAGCATTAGCCATCTGACGTCAGTATAAGATTCTCGATAAAATTCCTCACGTCAGATTAATAAAGCAACCGTGCTCGATATTAAAAGATTCATTCTTTCCTGGAACATGGCATTATTGATAGGCAACAGTTTACATATAGAAGGAGAAATTAGAATGTCCTTTTTCAAGTGGCGTTCCACAGGGTACACTGTGGTGCTCTTCTTGTTCGCTGTCCACATGATATAAGATCGCCGACGACATTAAAATAGGTGAGCAAAAATTGTGAGAATAACACCTGGAAGCCTATCATAATTTGGATCAGCTAAAGCTGTGTTGATAAATGTCACAGATGCAATTCAGTGCAGACATATTTTAGGTTCGAATCCCATTAAAAGAAAATAACCGGAAATCTTACGAACTTCATAGTACAGAACTAAAGAAACCGGACGTTAGAAAAAAAAATAAGACTTAGGAATTCTCGTAAGCAGAAATTTTATATCAAAACAGAATACATATAGGTTTGCAAAATATGCTACTAGATATCGGCACAACTCTGGTCTCCAACGTACAAAACGAATAAAAACAACTCGCAATACACAGTAAAAGAATGACTTATCTATCAACAAGGGTATAGAGACGGGGTATCAAGGTGGGCACTAGTGACGGATGGGATACCCGAAGAATCGATACTTGGACTTCTGCTTTTCCTGTTGGACATCAGTGACTTACTGAAGGAACCTAAATTTTTTGGCTTTGTGTTTGCCGATTATGTAAAACTAGTGAGAACAACAACAATCTGAGAGGAGAGAATTTCCAGACGATTTGAACAGGTTGCAGGTATTCAAGCCAGTGACAAATGGAATTCAGTCGTGACATGTGAAAAAAAAGAGAGAAGGGAGAGGGAGAGAAAGTCTCCGAAATGTAATACATTTAATACATCTTTAAGAGAGGCGCTCCAGGTGTCCAGGAAAAGCATCGTGTGGAACACATCACCGTTAACATATACCAACCATACAACATCAGTATATGCGAAATCAACTAACCTAATAACAGCTTTAAAGAGGAAAGGCCATTTTTGAGTATGCAGCGCCGGCGTGGAACCCCTACCTGACCAAGCACGTAACTAAGAGAACTAAAAACCTGTGTCAAGACTGGTAGCGAAACTGAGTGGTTTTACTGTAAGAAAAAAGAACTAAAACCTTAAAATGAAGAATTCGAGAAGAGGGAAGGACCAGAAGGAGTATAATCAAGTCGAACAAAATCGTGTGGGGAGATAGAGTGGACAGACAGGCTATTTAAGACGTGAGTAACACCCAGGGAACATATATGCTAGCTAAAGACACAGATGAGCAATGGGGACTTTAGGAAATACTTTTTTTAAGGCTTAAAATTGTCAGCAGAGCTCACAAAATGATATGAAGGAGACAAACATTGCATCCTTTCGAGAGTATGATTAGGCTCTGAATGCCAGGAACCAGTAAAATTAATCGTGAATAGCTCAGATGCAAGACCAAGAGCTACGAATCGACCCCATGCAAACACTACCAGGCACACACACACACACACACACACACACACACACACACACACACACACACACACACACACACACACACACACACACACACAGGCACATACACAGGCACACACACAGGCACACACACACATACACGCACACACACAGGCACACACACACACAGGCACACACACACACACACACACACACACACACACGAGCCCACAACCTGCCCAGCACACGCACTGAGACACAGGTGGCCACGACTATTCAACAAATCACTACCTTAGTTAGATCCTGTGTGTCAAGCGCAGTGGACAGACTGGCTAAAAAAAAAAAAGAAAAAAAAAAACGCTTAAGCCCTACTCACTCTTTGGTCTTAATCTTTGACTTTTTAAATATTCTTTTATTACAGAAGGTTCAAAGTCTCATCAGAGAAACATTCTGATGTGAAAAAAATATTTGCATGCAGATTTATCAATGGGCAGAGCAGTCTTCGTTTTCTGTTTAGTGAGAGAAAATGGGTAGAATGATGTTGGAGAGGCGGAGGGAGAGAGGGAGGCAGAGGAATACCGGTGTCGGAAAGGAGCAAGAAAGGAGAGAGAAAGGACTAAGATATACATAGCCAACGATCTGTAATACTTCCAAAGCATCAAAACTAAACAAAATTGCACTACCTCTTAGGCAATCTTCAAGGAAGATTAAAGGAATTCAGCAACTCGCGAAATTTGAATAATGATCTCAATAACCCTCAAATCTCCAGCTGCTTCAACTGCCCATAACGGTGACTGTTACCACAATGTTACGAGTCTCGATCACTCCAGTGAACTGTTGCATCCACTCATGACGATTTTTCAGCACGGGGGCTATAAATGTTTGTCCAAATGCCTTCCACGGTGGACGTAATGTTTCTGTCGGCCACTGATGCCACAACCGACCACTACCCCTCCTTCCTCCTCGACGTCACACTGATACCACAACCCGCTGGTGTACGGATGCAGATACCTGATGGACAATTTAGGGGGGTCAACGCCCCCGAAGTCATTGGTCCAGTCCTAGACCAGACCACTCAGAGGATCGCACAAACAATATAATTAAATTACATCAGTCAATCGCCAAACGTACAAAGGCAATCGCAAATAGTCGATTAAACGCACCCACCCACACCCACATGAACCCGCACCCACCCACACCCACATGAACACGCACCCACCCACAAACACTCACCTACACAATATCTGTTTCATAATATAACCCAGTTCTCTTTCCTTCATTCCATGACAGCTACGACGCGACGAACGGAGATTTTTCCTCAGGGGTGCGATGGGCCGACGAGACGGTACTGGGGCGTCGGGCTTACTTCATGGCCATGTCCGACCCGCCCACACTGGCCCTGGAGCCCACCCACGCCCGCGACCAGGGTGTCTACACCTGCAGAGTAGACTATCGCATATCGTCCTCCACCACCGCCCATGTCAACCTCACCGTTGTCAGTAAGTAGCCAATGTTTAATTTAGGTGATTCAGCAGCTAGTGAGTTTGGGTGATTCAGCAGCTAGAGAATGAGAAAGAATCAACCATGATCCATGGAATGGTAAGGTAACTCCAGTTTCTTTATATATAATGTAACCCTACAGAATCATGCACGACCCGATAGAATCAGGCACGACCTGAGAAAATCATGTACGACCTGAGAGAATCATGGACGACCTGAGAAAATCATGTACGACCTGAGAGAATCATGTACGACCTGAGAGAATCATGCACGACCTGAAAGAATCGTACACGACCTGAATCGTACAAGACCTAAGAGAATTATATGTAACAATAGTCACTGACAATCATATACAATAATATACAATAATATACAATGGCGAGCTACGACTCGCCATTTAAATTCCCGAGAAGTTTAAAGGTAAATAGCGTCTTTAAATTCGCCCAAGTTTGGGAGTAAATCGCGTCAAACTACTGAACTGCCCCACACATCCGGCGAACCTACCAATCACAGTCCTCCTATTGACTCCCAGGTAACAGTGCCACCTAGTTACAAATATTATCACTAACCTATATTATAAATAGCTGAGCGTTTCTTTCCTTGCTTCAAAGACTATCGACCGCAAGTAGGTCATTCTCTGAATTTTGCCTGTACAATATCAAGAATATTTTAAGCTTAGTGAATCAAGGGAGGAACAGACGGAGAGTCGAACCATAGTCTTGGAATGTAGCAGACCCTGTCTATTCTGCTTATTTACCGACTCGTTCGTCACTTGTTTTTATTCTCAGTGTGTGTGTGTGTGTGTGTGTGTGTGTAATATTTATATATATATATATATATGTCGTGCCGAATATGTAAAACTGGTCAATTAGCAAGAACTCATTTAAAATTAAGTCCTTTCTAAAATTTTCTTTTATACGTTTAAAGATATATTTTTTTCATTAATGTTGATGTAAAAATTTATAATTTTGCACCAAAAGGAACTTAGAAAACTTACCTAACCTTATTATAACAAGCGTAATTTATTTTAGCCTAACCCAACTAAATATATTTTAGATTTGTTTATATTAATTTAATACTAAACAAAACACAGTGAAATTTTTTTTTTTTTTCGTTAGGTTCAGAATGATTTTGGCGAAATTATTGCATACACAAATTTTCACTTGTCCTATATGGCAAGATGAGCGTTGCTATTTAGGCCAAGATCGCAAGTTCTGCCTATTCGGCACGACATATATATATATATATAATATATATATATATATATAATATATATATATATATACACCACACAAACGTAGATACATACAACTCTTGGTGTATATACCCTGAAGTATACGTATTAATTACAGCAAGTTCGATGATGAATATTAATGTGTCAGTTGCATATGAGCAAACCTAACAGATATTTAAAAAATAAAACTCCTTTTGAATGACAGTCTTCTCAATCATAGCAGTCACTAGATGCGTTACGGACAGGTGGGTGGATGGAGGGACAGACGAGGAGAGGGAGAGAGAACTCCATCCTTCCCTTCCCCTCCCTCCCAAGAGCTTCAGACTACCACCTTCAAGAGGCTCAAAGTTTAACACCTGTAACTAAATACCCGCCAAAGGCTCAGGAGCTGCAGATCAACACCCTCGAGAGGCTTATAAGCTGGATCTTAACTTAGTCACAGACAAAATAAAAGGTCAGTAAGACGAAACAGGGTTTGTCACGTCCGAAGAGTTTTAGGAACATTGAGTAACTTCATTAAAATTCCATATCTCTTGCGTATGGGATAAGTTATCTTCTGAGATGGAAATTCTCAGGTGACAGTAACTTCACCTCTGCTGGAAGGAAACTGCTAGAGCTCTCGTAGCTGGTGAACCATTGCTGGAATATCTGACAATATCCTCATTGCCTTACTGAAGTTTCCCAACCCAGGCTGTCAAATTTCAAAATCTAGTAAGGGCCCCAGACGGGAATATGACAAGGAAACATAGCTAGTTTTTGTTCTCAAGGTATAATAATCATATAGAACAGGGTAACAGAACAGTGATTGTATTGTATTACCAATTTTTGTATAAAAATATAAAAGTGTATAATATATATATATATATATATATATATATATATATATATATATATATATATATATATATATATATATGTCGTGCCGAATAGGCAGAACTTGCGATCTTGGCTTAAATAGCAACGCTCATCTTGCCATATAGCACAAGCGAAAATTTGTGTATGCAATAATTTTGCCAAAATCATTCTGAACCTAACGAAAAAAAAATATTTCACTGTGTTTGTTTAGTATTAAATTAATTAATGTAAACAAATTTAAAATATGTTTAGTTGGGTTAGGCTAAAATAAATTGTTCTTGTTGTAATAAGGTTAGGTAAGTTTTCTAAATTCTTTTGGAGCAAAATTAAAAATTTTAACATTAATGAAAAAAATATATCTTTAAACGTATAAAAGAAATTTTTAGAAAGGACTTAATTTTAAATGAGTTCTTGCTAATTGACCAGTTTTACATATTCGGCACGACATATATATATATATATATATATATATATATATATATATATATATATATATATATATATATATATATATTATATATAATATATATATATATATATATATATATATATATATATATATATATATATATATATATATATATATATTGTTTCATAATATGGAACAGAAGATTTAAGAGATAAGTTGAGAGTAAGACACATGTGCAACATCTGGGTATCTTTATTGTAGACGTTTCGCCATCCAGTGGCTTTATCAATACAAATTCTAGGACATAACTTGAAGACAGTAGAACTATGTACAGAAGATGAGGTAATCAGTCCCTCAACCTGTACATAGTTCTACTGTCTTCAAGTTATGTCCTAGAATTTGTATTGATAAAGCCACTGGATAGCGAAACGTCTACAATAAAGATACCCAGATGTTGCACATGTGTCTTACTCTCATCTTGTCGGTATTATATACCATTCGTACACAAGAGATAAGTTGTTGATATAAAGGTGGCATATAAGGTACATGTTGAACATTAAAATGGTATAAAATACCGACAGATTGTTAGGAAAGACACATATGCAACAGTTTGGTATCTTTATTTCGAAACGTTTCGCCTACACAGTAGGCTTCTTCAGTCGAGTACAGAAAAGTTGATAGAAGCAGAAGATACTTGAAGACGATGTAATCAGTCCATCACCCTTAAAGTTTTGAGGTGGTCAGTCCCTCAGTCTGGAGAAGAGCATTGTTCCGTTGTCTGAAACAATATGTTTCAGACAACGGAACAATGCTCTTCTCCAGACTGAGGGACTGACCACCTCAAAACTTTAAGGGTGATGGACTGATTACATCGTCTTCAAGTATCTTCTGCTTCTATCAACTTTTCTGTACTCGACTGAAGAAGCCTACTGTGTAGGCGAAACGTTTCGAAATAAAGATACCTAACTGTTGCATATGTGTCTTTCCTAACAAGGTACATGTTGTTACGTGTGTATCACCGATTATAAGGCGAAAATCTCATCCAGCTCCTCAGAGCTGGGGCATGTGCCCAAAATACAGCAGGCATTACCCCTTTGAACAGCCGCACTGAGCCGCTGGAACAGAAAACTAGCTGCCCTTGGATCCCTAGTTACCCTGATGAGTCTTTTCCCCAGCTCCTTAAGGAATTTAGATGCACTCTTTCCCCATGAGCCAAGGGTCTCTGAGCCTGTGGGAACAAACATATAATGATGGGCAAGTTCTCCATATTTTCTAGGCTTTTGGGACTCCTTGAAGCTGGCAGCTGCCCCTCCTTCCTCCCTGGTGTATTGGAGATAGGTATCAGCTAAGGTAGATGCACATGTATAGTCCCACACCACCTGCTTTCCATCTGTCCAGGCTTGAAGGGTGATACCATCTGGACGCTTCTGGCTGCCATCAGATCTGCATAGTTGGGGTGGCTCCCTTACTGCTGGGCATCCAGCTGTTGTGAGGCTCCTCTTGATAATGTTATTAACCTCCTCATGTCTTGCAATCTTTCCCTCGGATTTACGGCACACAAGACCATGGTACCCGAATCGGTCTGCTGCTTCACTGCCACAAAAACACCTGTGTTCGGCGAGAATAGGGGCGGCAAGTCGAAGGGCAACACCGATGCGGATGGTCTGTGGGTCGAGGCGTGTGCCAAGGCTGGAGTTGGGAACAGCCAACAGAAAGTCCCCAGCATGAGGGGCTCTCACTGCCAGGAGGCGGGGTCTATCCTTCCCTGACACACTCTGAAGCATTGGACCATCCCAGTGCGATTGTTTGCAGTTGTTGGGGGAAGCAGGTCTGGTTTCAGAACCCGTTAGATTATCCCAGATCATTGCTCCGTCAATGAATTTTTGGTCCTGGACTCCAATCTTGTCCCTAAGATGTTCAGGGAGAATCGCTGCTACAAGTCCTCTGCATGCAACAGATGAGGACAGAAAAGCAGGTAAAGCAATCTGTGATGACTTGCGGACACCAATGCCTCCTAGTCTGACTGGAAGTGTAGCTTGGTTCCACTGCCCGTCTTCTAGAGTAAGGTTAAGTACTTTCGTAAAAATCTGCCTCAGAATACTGTCATATTCGTGCAGTATAGGGTTATCATATGAAGGTGCACATATATTTACTGTATAAAGATTTTTAAATACAACTTTGATATTAAAAGTCTTAAGAAGAGAAGGTATATCAACCAAGTTTTCATAGTAAGGAAGAGCCAGCATATTTTTAGTTGAATAAGGTTGGTTGTCCCTTTTTGGATTGTAAAAAGTATTTCTAGCAATTGTAAAAGATTTATCAATTACGTTTCTTGGGTATTTCATATCATTTTCTTTTTCATAAATTTTGGATATTTCTTCATTTATGAACTCTGAACTACAAATAGGCAAAGCTCTCAAAAACATCAAGATAGAGTTAAACTGTTTTCTCATCCATGTTTTTGAGAGCTTTGCGTATTTGTAGTCCAGAGTTCATAGATG